AATTGCATCGACCAGACTAAAATATTGCATTTGTAGTCGATTGCCGATCGTTGAAGGGCATTCGGTGATAATCACAACGTTCACGAAATACACACAATGATGCAATTCGCTGATTCGGGATGCTGGCCAGATGAAAGAGAACAATCAGGAACAAACGACGACCACTCGTAAAATTAATAAGCGCAATGAACGTTAACGAGGGCCATAAATATGACCGCCGCGGCCTGCTTATCCGCCGATTAGCATAATCACTCCTGATACTCGTGGACTGTAATTTAAAAATATCACGACGTACCTCGATGTATACACGACGCATTTTATAAAGGGCCCAATGGTAGGGTCCAAAGGTTCGATGGTTCGATTTGATATATGCTAACTCAACCTCTGTATGCCATACCTTTTAATATTTAATGCTTGTACGCTTGTAACGTGAAAGATGCAATTTATTTATGATTACACAATCACAGATTTTCGGGTAATCCCTGACAATGAACTACGCTACGAATTCGTTTTAAGTGATATGTAATTTTGGTAAAGAAATTAAATTTAAAGAAAAGTACCATTTTTTTGTATAATAACGCAATGGTGTGCGAAATCTTTCTGCACTATTTTTTCTTAGAAATGAAGGTACATTTCAATCTTTTAAACACATACTTTTTTTTTATATTATACTTTCATAAACCACTGTGAAAAGGATGATGATTTTTTGAAGAATTTTTCAAGATAAAAAATCATAACGAACGAGTGGTTAAAACAAGTTACGTAATAGAAACATTTGAATGAAGTAAGTTCTACTTACAATGTATGCACGAAAAAAAGATTCAAGCCATTCAATTATTTATATTCTTTTCATCGTCAGTCAACTCTATCGATCACTCATAATTCTCTGTAATTTTCACGATAAAAGTGTAATTAAAGTGTCGTTTAGAGCCAGCATCACATTAATCATTGATATGTTTTCTTCAGCATATTATCAGCGACAATAATATTAATAACAACAACACGATCTTTGCAAACATAGCTCTTTAATTAATTATTACCGAGAATTCACCTTTCACAGCCGGTACCACATTCCGCGATTATTCGCTATAGATATTATTATTAGCTTTGCAATCAGTATCCAATTAGAGACTCCAACTCTCTAATTACACTCCAAGATTTTAAGTCTATCTTAACATTACATTATTTCGCTTTTTCGCTGTTGAATTTTTATTCTCATCATTAACATGATGATTACGTTTCAGATAGTGTCGTAACCTCGACACGTGCACGATAAATTTGACTAGTTGCTCGTGACACGTGATAAATGATGATCATTATTATTCTCGAACGATTCTTGTTGCTATCCTTTTTAATTAGACAGTATTTCAATTTTACTTTTTTTTT